CCCCCCACCACACACACATTATTATAAATGTGATCTCAGCCAGGCTGTCTGCAGAAACCACAGACTCCAAAAATAAACACCTATCTGCAAAAGTGTGAATAACAGCAATAAAAAAAGCAGAAATAAAATATATCATATATATTTTGAAGCTAATTATACAAATATTATTGCCTTTTTTTTTGGTCTCGTTGTAGAATATTTATTATTTTTAATGAAAGAGAAAAGGAAGTGTTTGGATTTTGTTGAACAAATATTATAAATGTTAAACTTTTGAGTGGCAGAGGATAAAATCGGAGGATAAATGTGATCAACACTTCCTGGTCCCCGAGCAGAGGTGAGTACTCAAACGTTGTACTCAAGTACTGTATGTGGCACTACTTCAGCATATTTTTACTCACGTAAAAGTAAACATTAGCCATCCAAGAAATTACTCAAGAGTTAAAAAGTATTTTGTGCAAAGAGACTTGAGTGCTGAGATCATAACTTCTGATTTATTATTTTAAAGTGATGTCATCAGATTGACAACAACTGTAAAGTTAGGCGCAAATTCTGCTGTTTTTAAAAAATGAAGAAAACTAATATAAATAACATATAACAAAATGACAAAACAATTTTCCAAGTCCGTTTTTCTCWTTATGAAAGTCCACAGAAAAGCAGTCATTTTCCAAACACAAATCTGAAATTCAGCTTTTCTTCTGCTCTGCTTTTATTTTGAAGGAGAGCGCGGTGGCTTAGGTATTTGTGCTCTGCAGCAGCGGCGTCTCCATGTCAGCGTAAAAACCAACTGTCCTCACATCTGCCTCAGGTATGAAACATAAAGTGACCTGTTCAAACACACCTTTAAGGGAAAAAGAATCACATTCATTTTAAAGCAAGCCGTGGGTARGCACTCAACGTACACAAATCACTCAGGCTGCAGGTAAACAGGTGTGGTCCAATCAGAGAAGATGTTSAGAAACATCAGAGTGAATCTGCTGAAAGAAAAAAAAACACTTTTTCACATTTATAATGTTTTTATTTACGTTAAATTAATATAGTTACGGTTTTATTGAGCAGTTAATGACATTTATTTCAATTGTAAAATATTTATTGAGCATAATTTGCTTTCGGTTGTTGGTTCTGATGTGGCCCTTTGTGAAAATAAAAATATATTTTCATTTTAAATTTCACCTCCAAAAAACAAAGTTGCATTTTTTAGACGTGACTTTGATCAACACGTACATTTTAAATACACAAACGTTTGGTTCAAACATTTTTAAAAATGAGATAAGAAATCTTTTTTCTTCATTTGTTTAAATAGAAACATTATTTCCTGTGTCTCACCGACTCGGTCCTCCTGTCTGGCCTGAAGCTCTGCTGCAGCTGAGGTCTGAAGGGAAACACTTCAACACGTCCAACAATCATCTGTCCCTCAACTCATTTAGCTTTATGCACCGTCACGGTACTTTTAAATGTTTCATTCTTAAACTAATTAGATACACATTAAAGGTTGATGCAGTTCTTGCTTTTTTGTAAGTTGTCTCAAATAAAATAACAAAAGTATAATTGTTTTATTTATTATATCACTTTTCTAAAGGGAAAGTTTCATATTATTCTGTTTTTCCAAATTCTAATAAATTCTTCTAAAACACATCAGATGAGTCTGTACTGAAGGAGCTGCAGGCTTTAACACACACACACACACACACACACA